CACAAGAGGAAAACCTATAACACATAGCAAGTCAGAATAATAGATAAATGATCTCCGGAGGCATGACTCACCTAAGTCTTAAAACTGCTATGCGTCCAGCCCAGGGAGCAGCGCAGGATATGCGGCTGGTGATCTCGAATGCGCATCCATCAACCGCCCTTCCTGCAATACCTGTGCAACAGCGACGAGCTTGTTATGAGGCGCGTCACGAGCGGCTCACGATATGCCCTGCGTAGCTACAGGCGCCCGCGGCTATGCCTGTGCTAGAAATTTCAAAGGCGCGTTCAAGCGCAACGTGCACCCGGTGCTCGCGTGTGAGCTAGGCAAGGCCGCGGCTGAGGTGCACGAGTGTGAGAGCATGACGTACCCCGATATGCACGACACGGTGGTAGAGGTGGATGGTGGATACCACAGCGGGAGGCGGATTGGCAGATCTTCCATTGTCTGGTACGACCTCAACTTGACAACATCGAGATTATATAGTCTAATAAACTCACCAATTACCACTGCCCGTAATCCACAAGACGCCGCATCCTCCGCTGAGAAAAGTAAGATAGCGGTGGAGGGCCGTGCTGCCCTCAACAGCTGTGGGTATCTCACCAGCAACGCGGTCGTCGCGCCCCTAGCTCTTGTGGCCTGCAATACTTGTCGTATTGTTCACGAGCCTCTTAGTCGCGCACACAGTGTTGCTTCGTTACTCCGGGGTTTGTGCGCCCGCTCCGCCCGTGATGATGCGACCTTGCTGCCCATGAGAAGGGTATGAGTATGTATCAGAAGAATAGCACTTACGCAAGGACGTCGAGGGCGTCGACGCGTTACCCGTTGACTGACATCATTGACAGAGGCTGACGCGGCGCGGTGGTGACGTGGAACAAGAGGAGAGATGTTCGGGTGCTTATTATTATTGGCTGTGCCATCACTCGCTAGTTTAGGGCAGACACTCGCGTACTTGAGCAAGTGAAGAATATACCACCTTCGGACAGTGCTTCAAGCTTCAAGTGTCACAATCAAAATTTTGTATACTATTTAGTTCCATTCACTAATGTTGTAATCATATGCTTTACATTAAAATCTAGCTTACGGCGCAAGAAACTAGCCAGTGTTCTGTGGTGCATATATGAGCGGCTGCTGAGTGCTGCCAGGCTCTCCTGAGCCTCGCGCATGCACTAAGCAGCGAGCGTAGACGCGGTAGTAGACGCCCCTGCTACGCAGCAAGACGCTGTTTCCTGATGTGGTACCATGCTGGGTGATTGCGTGACTGTAATAGTGCCCGAGAGGCGGGTGCCGCTCGTTTGGTGCCATGATCCAAACAGGAGTGTGACGAGGCAGGGCGCCACTTCCAGAGAGTCGTCCGGGGTCTTCGATGGGTGTATACTTGGAAGAGAGCGACAAGGAGCGACATGCCGCGCAACGACCAAGCAGGAAACGACAACAAGGAAATGCACGAGAGTCGGGTCCCAAGGGTTGTCAGCACCAACAACCCACATGTGACACGGATCAAAATGCTCCCTCGCACTCACTAAACACAGGAACGTTTGAATGAACGGTGTCCATGTTGCTCTATTAATATCGTCATGTGATTACTGACACTGCTTGGGTTTGTTGTGCTCTAAAACCGTGATTGGTGAAAATTGAATTTGATGGGCCGGGAAGGTGGACGATCGAACTGACGTCGTCTTGGACGTCATTGAGAAGAAAGTGGAGTACACAGATATATATCACAGTCTCCATGCGGCTTTTGGCCACTATATCCACGTAACGCTCTGATTTACATCAACCCCTTACAAACATGTCAAGTGTACGATTTCTGGGCGATAACAATGACCCATAAGTCTCGTCTACCACCAAATTCATCCGTATTCGCTTATTTGATCTTGTGGATAATTGTCAGATACACATGATATTCATTCCTTGATGCTCGTTCCCCAGAAATCTTCTGGTGCTCTGAGTTTAGGGGGACATTAACCTCCAATTGCTAGACACTCTCCTGCCGCGGTAGATCAGTCGGAGATAATATCTAATTCGGCAGAACATACTGTACGTCTGTGTGCATCTTAATCGTGCGACCTCTGATTTCTTCTCCCACAGACTCAGCAGCAAGCATATGTGCATAATACGCGGATTGACGCATCCAACGAAAACGAAAAATTCTGCAATCTGCTAGGCGCAGGACCAAAGGCCTATCAGGCCTTTGTGGCCTACAGGACCAGATGGTCGTCCAGAACATCTCGATCACTCTCTCATCTATCCATCTCGCTCAGTCGTCACGGTGTTATCATATTTGATGTATTCTGCCATATGAGAGACACGGAGGAGCGATTCCAGACGAGTTACAATTATGGAAGGCCAGTGTATCCTCAACTTAAGGGTGCGTCGGATTGCAAATGCTATAGGATCCGATAGCATTAAGCTCGCGCAATAGGTCATTTCCGAGCATATTCGCCGTTCCCTACGAGAAAATACTTAAACAGACCTGCAAATCATTCGGCCAGAATGACCAAGTGAGCAGTATGCTCCCTCCTGTGGTATCTCCCTGACAAACGAGATCCAGTCGCAATCGTGACGTCGATTTCGGTAAATGCACAGATTGATTTCTGGCTGTCATCGCCCTTCATATTATTCCATCATCTGCAGCACAACGCTACGTATGGTGTGCGAAATCTGACACCCGACGTTGCTATCACATCTACTTGCTTATCGTCCCTAGACCGCATCTCGCGCACGCTCTTACTATCTTCACTCATCGCATGAATATGCGCCCTTACACTATTTCAGCACCCATTGATGTATTATATTTTCCGGATACTCTTTATGTGTCTGAGCTAATATAATATCAAGTGAAGTAAGTGTCACTCTAGTGACTCCACGCTATCTCAGTCGCAATACATCCCGGATATCATGCAGAAGCGAGAGTCCGTCCGAGAAATGCACTACGAGGTTTTGACCCTCGAGTAGACATCGAGGGTCATAGATGCTGGAAGCGTCACCGAGCCCCTCAAAATTCGCAAGGAACGCTCCAGACTTCGGGTCGCAGACGTGGAGATCCCTCACGCCGTCTCCCAAGACAACGTAGTCTCCGCGTGGGGAGTATGATGCATACTGCAATGTTCCTGAGAGCTGGTAGACGCGACGTAACCGACCAGTCCGTGAGTTGAAGGCGACGGTCGTATTGTCTGCGTCACAAGCGGCCAATACCTCGGAGCCGTCGGGGGAGAATGCCACAGGATATGAGAGCTTTCGCGGGTGGTCGATTGTGAGAAGCTCCTTGCCAGTCACCGCACTCCAGATCTTCACTTGATCATTCGTCGATGCGGTGGCTATGCGGTCTCCTTGGCGAGACACTGACGACTCGCAGGGTTCATAATTATGCCGCAATTCAGCGATGCGCGTGTAAGTTTGGGTGTCATAGATCAAACAGCGACCCTTTTGGTCAATGTAGACGCGCGAGTTATTGGGGGAGAAGGCAACCTGGTATATGTCGTTCTCGACGTCGAAGGAATGTAGACATGCTCCAATCGAGGCGTCCCAAATCTTCACAGATTTGTCGACATCGGACGCGGTGGCAATGAGTGCGCCGTTTGGGGCATACACAACTTTCCCCACCGTCCCACTATGTCCTTCCAGACGTAGAAGTGCGCGACCATGTCGGATATCCCAGACGATCGCGGTCCCATCCTCGGATCCTGAGACAAGAGAACGATTGTTGGGAGAAAATTCAAGGGAGCGCACAGGCTGTGCATGGCCTTGATGATGTAGGCGTTGGACGAGTAGACCATCGGGTAGTCGCCACACGAGGACGTCACCACTTGCGAACGAGGCGGCTAGCAGGTTGCCATCAGTTGACACCGAGAAGCATCGGCAGAATGCGGATGGATCTCGAGAGTCGGTGAAGACGAGCTGTCTCAGTTTCAGTGGTCGAACCTCCGCTTGCGTGGGGCCGATGAAGACGGGCCGGTCTCCCGGGTGACCAGCGCCGTCCAAGGTGATACCTGGCCAGTCAGCCACGTCGGCAGGTGTGATGATGCGACGTGCGAGAGTGCGCTCTCGCTCATGAGATATTACGTCTTCTGTGCAGATCAGCCCAACTATGCGACGATCGTCAGTCTTGGATGACGCTGTTGCTCGACGATAGGATACTCACGCGTGCCGTCGACGTGCACTGGAGGCTGCACTCGACGAAGATAACTGGCGAAGTCGACCACGTGATTGCCACCCTGGCTGAAATCAGTCTCCGCAGTCTGCAAGGAGGTAGTTCACACGGTACGTACGATGATGCTCTCGACGTCGTCATCGCTCGCAATCACCGTCTCGGCGCAGGTAGTCTGTGGTTCAAGACGCATCACTTAGCGGAACAGACATCGCTAGGCTTGGGTGGACACACCTCCAGCATGTAGTCCAGAAGGATTTCCAGCAGGTCGGGAGCTTCGCCCTAGTGGTTCATCAGCTCGCGTACTTCACAAATACAACATAGCGCAAGACGTACCTCGCCCTTGAACTCCAGCATATTTGCGTCGATAAGATCCTCTTCCTCCTGCACCACGACTCCTTTCCCTCCCGATCCACCTCGCTCGTCGCCCGCACCCGGAAGCCGGTGGTAGTCCGCACCCGCAACGATCTTCTTCAGAATCACCAGCCGCTTTCGCAGCATGTAGCGTTTCACCAGGACGCATTGGTCCCTGATCGGCTCTGCGGGACGGGGGCGAGACGCGTCCGCCAGGTAGTCCCGACCCTGCCGTTGCACTCGTGGACCCGTTACAGACCTCGAGTGAGACCCGCCGATTCCAGCCCCCGCAACGCCGCCAGCGTTGCCTTCGACCGAAGCGCTGACACTTGTGCTGGCGTTGCTGAAGGCAGCCACGGCCCAATCCGCCTCTGTCTTGACCCAGCCGCGGACTACGATAAGGCTTTCCTGCTTGAATCGGTGACCGAGGACGTCCTTGGCATACGCATACCACCCGTCGTGATGCCGGGCGATGTAGTTCTCCAGGACCGCATTTTCGAACACGGTCTCGGCGTGAGCTTCACTCTTGAGCGCGAGAATCGCGCCTTGAGCCGCCTTGCATGTGTAGTTGGCAGTAAGCGCTGCGGACACATTTGCACCGGCCGTTCTGCGTGGCTCAGACTGTCAGCAGAGAGTGATTTCTCGGACGAGCTGGTATACGCACATGTTTGCCGAAGCGTGCAATTCCTTGCTCTCCACTCCATGACTACAGTAATGGTCGGGGACGAGTGGTCGGTGCCTGCGATCGATCTTGAGTACGCCCGGAGGCAGGGGCTCGGTGATCTCGTACGGCGGCTCCCAGAACGTGACCTTCTTCTCGGGAGCGGAGAGGTCGAGGTTGAACAGCCTGATGAACGCGCCTTCGTGGATGAACCCCACGTCGCCGATCTGCGGCTCTCCTGACTCGTGCGGCTCGGGGTACCAGAGGGCGTGGCCGAGATGAAGCGTCTGGAGACTGGACGCATAGATCTCGTCTGGAGCAGATAGCGGACGAAACCAACGAAACATGTGGGGTAAGACGTAGGATGTAGAGCAGGCGGGAAGAGCAGAGGTGGCAGCACCAAGGACACACCCTCTGAGGATTGATAGCGAGGATCGTTCCAGCGTCATCAGCCTGATCGTTTCCCACGAGAAAGATGGACGCTCGCGCTCTGAGTCTCCCAAAGGGATGAGGACCATATACCAGCCGCAGACTGTGTTGTAGGCGTTTACTGAGATAAGACGAATTGCTAGCACGAAGATCCAGTCAGAATAGAGGACGGTCATGTTCGAAGTGGTGACGCACATCAGCTTGATGCTGAATGTAACAATCTGTAGTCGCATGATCCTATATATGGTCTTCACTGTGATGCAACAGGCGGATTGGGCTTATAGGCGGTCTCGACGTCGTCGACGTCGCGAATCGTGAGCGATGACGTTGTGCCAGAATGATGCAGAGTCAATATGGGTGACGGACACTTCGTCCGGTCGACAGCAAAATATTATGTAGCGACGACCTAGAAGTTATGAGCTGCTGGTCGCTGTCGACGTTGCGGTCAAGTGAAACTCGAAAGAGCGCGCTCGCCGTTCGTGAAAAATCTTACATAAGTTCTTCGTGGCGTTTGATGCGGTTGTCAGGTGGGTGCGACATTCCTCCACGTCGCCATCAGATAGTCAGCAGCAGAACCTCTCACCAACCAAACGCTCTGAAAACGAAGAATTTTGTTTCCAGTACAAGACAATAAGCTTCGTGAATCGTTTATTCCTGTCGCAGGAAACAGTGCAGTGCCCCGTCGTCTCGGCTCAGTGCTGACAGGCCCCCAATACACCTCCTTGACACTGCCAGATAGCTCTAATTCGGCATTGACGAGACATTGACACCAAAAGTTCTAATCTCGCCGCCGGGGTATGATGGACCCTCGGGCATTAAGCTTCACGCGTGCGATGCGACATGTGTCAACCAATTTCACGTCCGTAGGCGTTCATCTGGCCGGCGTGTCGCCCCAGAGCTCCGAGTCGCCGCCCACCGCCCTCTCCACAACGCCTCCTCTGGAACTCTCCACGTACGCGAAAACATGCGTCCACGGGCCGACGCGCCGCAGACGCGAAGCCTCCACTCCGGCGCTCTCTGACTCAGCAGAAGAACCCCGGCGTGCGTGCTCTTGCAGCGTCTGCTTCGGACTCTGCCACACCCACCGGCACACCCACATGTTTCCACCTCGCACATCGTTGGCGGTTGCTCGCACAGTGCCGCGCGCGATGCTTTTGCCCGGCCCATTTGCATCAGCGTCGTTGGCCAAAAACGCGCCGTGCACCGCGTCCCGCGCGCCCCACCCTCTCTTCCTTCCCGCCCGAGCCGATCTCGCCACGCCCGAGTCCTCGTCATCACCACCAAACACCGCGCGCAGTCCCCCTCTGCCGCATCTCCCGCAGGAGCAGCCTAACCGGCCACAGACGGGCGACGAGCGCGCGCGGAAGCTGGTCGTTTGCAAGAGGGGGAGGCGAGGCTCCTTCCGCCGATCGCACGCGCGAATCACCCCAGGGCGCGCACATCGCGATCTTCTCGTCGGGGCGCGCTGGCCCGGTACGCGCACGCCATGCGACCAGCGAGCGCGCGCGCGCCGCCGCCGTACGTCCGCCACACCTCCGACCAGAACTCTGGCCGTCCTGGAGGAGAGAACTCCGCCGGGAGACGACGCCCTCGTGATGAGCGCGAGGATCGGCTCTCGCCAAGATCGTAGGTGGGGGACCCTTGGACTACATTAACGCGCCGTTGCCGCCGCCGCCGCAGAGCGTGCTAAGCGAAAGAGGGGATGGATCGCCCGCCGATCCGTAATTATAGCGAGACGGCAGGCACCCACGGCTGTCCCGGCGCGACGGCGGCATCCGCGAGAAGGGCGCCTGCGACGCGGCGTTGAGTCCGCCCGAGGCGTCCTGGCGGGTGGCCGGCGCGTCCGGCATTGGTCTCCTTCGCAGCAGAGGAGCGGCGGTGACCAAGGCGGGACTCGGGGAGTTTTTGCGCTGAGGACAAACGGTGGCGAGCCCGCTCAGGGGCCGGCCCCTTTACGCGTTAGCGAGGAGATTAACCGTACCCGAGTTTATCTCATCCATCTTCGTCACGACGGTCCCTTACGTCGTTTCGTTCGTCTTGCGTCCCGTTTTCCATTCAACGCTTAGGGGCGTCCCTATCGTGGCTTCTGTCTCGGGAGGCGGCTTGGCCGCGTCGACCGCACGACGCGCGAGACAGAAGCAACGGCTGCGCGTCATCCGACTCGGGAGGGACGCGCGTGTCTTGTCGCCAAGGGCCGCGCTCGTCGGGCGCCGCTCGCCCCACAACATGTCCGTCGCAGGCCTATCGGGACGTACCTCCCGCGCACGGCACACACGTTGCGGGGTTGGAGGGGTGCACGTCCCCCAATGCACGATCGCCAGCATGCCGTTTCTGGGCGTAGACGGATCGATGGGGGTCGCTCTGGATATGAATCGATGACGTGCCGTGTGCGAAGCGCATTTTATATAAGGATCTGCGAGAACGCGCAACGCAAATCCTATGTGTGAGCACATGAGCCGCCTGAGCGAACGCGGGGTAGGGGCCCAGCACACGCACGACGCCGGGGTGGCGACGACGTCACCGTCGTCTGTGCACTTTGCGAACTCGGACGCATACAGGCTGGCGCTCGGACGCAGAAAGACAGGCCAGAGAACGCTGTTGTCGGCACCAGTCGTGCGTACGCGTGTGAGCCACCGCGAGCCCTACAGCATGTCCAGACTCGAGCCATCCGACGAGAAGCGTGGGAGAGCGGAAGCGAAGAGCGTCGAGGGCACACGCTCACCCGATCACCGTGGTCTGCCGCCGGCCACCGGCGGGGAAGCGCCCGTTCGATGCTCGCTTTCGGCTGCTTTTTCTGGCGCGTCGCAAAGACCAGGACGTTTCCGCAACAACAACGACGACGACGACAGGGCTTTCTGCACCCGTGCAAGACTGACGGCAGCAGGCGACATGTCTCCGTCACCGGAGGGCACGACGCTCTGAAATGCAAACGCAACATGCCGCTCATGCCATGGGCACCTCCCAAAACGAGCCCAAGCTTTTCACGGCGATCCATGATGCAAAGCCACCACGTCCGGGATCGGCGGTGCACCACCTGACGTGGGAATGCTCTTGGTGGCACGAGCCCGTCCAGCCCCAGCCCCACACGCACTGCACCGCTGCGCTGCGCTGCTTCGCGGCAAGGATCCCGACATCCCGATATCTGGACATCCAGGAAAGCTAGGGTCCTCGCCGGAAGACGCTGCTGCACACACCCCCGCCGGAAACACGTCCCGTGTGTGCAGCATCTGGAAACGGGGCGTCCGGTTGCCCAGGGCACGAAACAGACGTCTCCAGCCGGAAACCTGTCCCATATATCACATTCCCCGGGACGGACATGAGGGGGGGCCTGGGATCGTCCGTCGGCACGCCCTGACCCTCGCTTCCACCGGCAATTTCCAGCGCAAACCCAACGGCCTCTCACACCTCCAAAGTTCACGACCCTGCCAACGACCGAGGTTTTTGGTCATGCGCCTAGGCACGGACGCCGCGGCGCAGTCAGCTGTCTGCGTCGATGGGACGCGGCGCTGTCGACGATAACTGCCACATACCGAAAAAAAAAAAAAGCATGACGCCAATCCAAATAAATACCCAGAGAGCTCTGGGGGCCACTAGCAGGCATGTATACGCATACAGTTGACAGGACTAAAATATGGCAGGGACGTCACGTTCGAGAGCCCAGACGGGCATCGCGACGCCGCCCGCGACGTACGCGCGGCGGACAGACGTCCACATACCGCAAGGCACGCTATGTCACAGCAGGCAGTGAAGGACGCTAGGACACAAAGCCAATGCACGAGAAAGAACATCATCGGCGCTGTCACCAATGATCACGTCGGCAGACTGACACCGCTGCTCATCGCAAAAAAACACAAAAGGACGACATACTACACCCGCTCATCAGCAGTGACACAGCGGCGCCGCCAGCGACGTACGTACCGCGGCTTGAACCGTAAAAGCGCACGCTGCGTCACGCCTAATAATAATACACACGAGGCAGTAGAGGGAGACGCTACTAGATACACATGCAAAAAGCTGCTCGATACAAGGGTACAAATACACAGGTCAGGGGCGGCATATACGGATACATCGATGTGTGTAAAAAAGGTGCACTGTTCCGGGTGAGAGGGGGATATGCGCGTGTTGTGTGAGATGGCAAAATGGAAAGAGATGCAGGCGGTGAGAGGGGGATGCGAATAGGGAAGCACAGTGTTATGAAAAATGCAAGCAGTGTATGAAAATGTGAAATGGTAGCAAAAGAAGAAAGGTAACCAACCAAAGCCGAGAGCATACACAAACGAACCGACACCGTCCGCAAGCAGCCACCTCCAAAAAAAAAAAACCGTCCGTCCGTCTATATGTTCAACACACCAGCTCAATCCCACCACCGGCCCGCGCGCAGCGGCGCCGCCTCGCCCGCGACAGTGCTGCTCCGCGCACGCCCCTCGGGCCGCGCCCACTCGGTGCGCTCGTCGTACTGCGCACCGCGCGGCGCAGCGTACGGCGCATAGCGTCCCGGTGCGAGGCGCGGCGACGACCGGCTGCGCGTGCGCCCGTGTAGCGGCGCAGGCGGCGGTGCGAGGTGCGCCTGTGGGGACAGCGGCGGGGGCGGGTACGCGTCGTCCTCGTCCTCGTCGTCATTTTCGTCGTTGTCGTTCATGTCTGCGAGCGCGTCCGCGTCCTGTTCCTCGCTGTACGCCTCGTCGTCGTCGTCGTCTTCGTCTCCTGCATCATCGTCACGCGCGCTGCCATCGTCATCGTACACCCGCCTGTCATACCCGCGTTCGCGCGAACTCCCCGGCGACGGCAGCTCGTCTGCACGTCGGTGCGCCTCTGCGCCGGGCAACGTACGTGTCGGCTCGAACGCCGCGTATGCCACATACGACGTCTTCGACGCACCCGTGTAGTACGCCGGCGCATACGCCGACTGCGGAGGCACGCCGACAGGCGGCAAACTGTGCCCGCTCGAGCTCTGCGGCGAGCTCGACGCCGAGTGGCTCAGGGGCGGTGTCGGCGGCGCGCGTTCCTCCCTCGCCTCTCTTGGCGGCGTGTGCGGCAGTGGCAGCCGAGCGCTGTATTCGCCGTCGCGGTGGTAGTCTCGCACGTACGAGCGCGACGCGTGTGCGTCGCCGTGCGTGTACCGCGGCCGTGTCTCGGGCAGTTCTGCCGCTGCATGGGCCTGGGGGGCATAACTGGGCGGGGTGACGACGTAGCCTGTGACACGGGGGCCCGCGGCAGCCGGCGGGAAGCCTGCGGGGGCTTGCGCGCGCAGCGGGGCGGGTGGGAATTCAGCGTCGTGCCTGAACGCCGACGGTGCTTGTTCGTGTGCGGGAGGCGCGTCTGGCACGGCGACGGGGCTCATGCCGAACGGAGCGCCTGGCCCCACGCCGCCGCCGCCGCCGCCGCCCGCACGTCGTGCGGCCGAGAGGTGGTTGCGCCAGTGGCGGCGCATGTTCGAGTTCACGTTGAAGGCGCGGCTGCAGCCGGGGAAGGGACACTTGAACGCTGTCGTCGAGGCACAACGGTTACACACGGGCGCGCACAACGGAAGAAACGGGGCGGGAGACAAGACTCACGCTTGGCGCCTGTGTGCGTGTTGACGTGGATGCTCAGGCTGCTCGGCCGGTTGAAGCGTTTGAGGCAGTGCGGGCAGCAGTGTTTCTTTTCTTCGCTCGCGACGCTCACCATGGGGCCGCCCGCGCCGCCAAAGTGCGCGGCGCTGACGTACGGCTGGGGGCCGAGCTGCGCTGGGCTCGCGTACGGCTGCTGCGGGGCGAACTGCGGCGGCACGAACGAGGGCGCAAAGGCGTCTGCGGTCGGCAGCGTGTACGGAGACGGCAGCGGGACCGCGCGGAACGTCGCTGGTGACGGCGCATACGAGGGGAGGGTCGAGGTGGAGGAGGACGGCGTGTAGGCCGACGAGGGCGGGTAAGCGCTGGTTGACGATGACGGGGCGTACGACGACGAGGGTGTGTACGACGACGACGAGGGCTCGTAGGGCGGCGGCGGCGGGATCTGGACGCGGAAGCTGGGTCTTGAGCGAGGCGGCGCGGGGGCAGGTGTGGCGTCGTAGGCCGAGTCAGGGGACACAGAGGGGTGTGGCGCATAGCCCGGGTCGTGCGGCCGCAGGGCCTGCTGCGGCTCGTGTGCCTGGACGTCAGTGAGCATGGAGAGCGGGAGACGATCCGACGGGAGACGGACCTGGGTGGAGGGCGAACGGTCTCTGTCGGTGTACAAGGGCCCGAGCATGTGCTCTGTCGCGGAGATCAGCAGGAGCTGGGGGCGAAGACGGAGAGGGGAGACGCACCAGGGAACATCTCGTTGATACTCGGGAGGGAGACCTTGGCCGCCATCGATGCGGGAGGATGGGGGAGAGGAGGCAGTCGGGCGGGCGTGGGGGTCCTCGGTGCGGAGGGGCTTATATACACGGACGGACACGCGCAGACGGCGGAGCGGACAACAGAGCCAGCATGGACGCCGGCCGGGGGGAAATCATCCGTCACCCCCAATCCCAAGAGGCACGGGAATCTCCCCGATATGGCAGCCGTGCCGAGCGTGCCGCGTCCCCAGTCTGCCCACAGAAACACGTTCGCGCCGATCGAACCGCGGCGATCCTGCACGCGCGTCCCTCCGACGATGCACGCGACGATCCCCGTGAAACATCCACAGGCGCGTACCGTGTCTCTCGCACACCCGCTGCCGCCCCGCCGTGCCCGAGCAGCGGCGCCCGCGGCGCCCCAAGCGGACGCCCCTGGCACACATTCGGGCGGCGACTGCCCTCACACGCGCGGGCGCGCAAAAAGAGGGCGCACACGAGGCTGCGTCACGCGCAGGATCTGCGCGGGGAGGCCTGGCCTTGGCCTGCCGTCACCTGCTTGGCCATGGCCATAGCGGTCGCCGTGCGTGCAGCCTGCCCTGCCTCGCACCCGCCGATTGCGGCTCATCTCCGCCGGCGGCGACCTGCACTTAATTCAGGCCCCGCGACCGCGCGACCCGAACTGTGGCGTCCGTCGTGACGTACTCACACGTCTCGCATGCCCACACGACACACGCCGCGCCGCGCCGGCCCCTGGTCCTGGGATTGTCGCGATCCTCGAAATAGACACATGTCCTCTGATCGGCGACCCTTTGCTCCCTGCACCCCGAGACGCCCGATTTCGGCGCTCGATACATTCCCGAGTTCCCACCAGGGTCCGTGCGACTGACTGAGCTGCCCTCGAGCCGGGAATGACGTGGTGTCCGAGGAGCCTCGCTCTTACCGCGGCGGCTGCCCATCAAGACAAAGGGCGGCACCGACACTGGCGGACAGGGCGAGACAGTCTCACGCTCGCGACGTTAGCGCGCCCCGGGGTTCACGGTGGGTGGAACAGCAAAGCGTGCAGGTATGCGGCTTTGGAAGACGATTTCGCGAGAAGAGGCGAGCGCACCCAAAATACGCGCAGCCCGGAACATATCCCGAAGCTAAACCGCCGATGGCTAGTCGAACTGGGCCCCCGACCCTACCAGCGGTCTAGCCAAGGACAGGCCCTTCCAAGCACGTGCGAGTCCCCATCACCGACGAGAAACGCTCGCCTTCGCGGGAGCGATCTCGCGAACATCTGGTCGCGTCCGCGCAGTCGCACACCGCCCGGTGGGAACCCCATCTCAGTGCGCATCTCCAACGAACCAATGGCCGTGATGCATCACGACCCAAGAGCTCGAACCATCAGAACCTACTTGACCGGCCCTAAACAGAAAAAAAGAACCAGCACTCGCGCGAGCCAGACGCATCACATCGCCCGGCCAGACCGCGCCGCCGCCCGACAGGGCGTTCTTACGTTTGGAAGGGTGTATCCAAGGGCCAGAAGAAGACGGCGACAGCGTGTGCCAGCGGCCCCGCGCGAGGCCCACGAGCAGGACAAGCGCGTCGTCGCGCGGCGCGGCCTTCTTCGAAGTTGTCTTCCCCGCAGGACCACAGGTTGAAACGACTGCCCATTGGACTGGGCGTGCGCGCCCTTGTGCTCGCCGGGGTCGTGGGCGTCGGCGGCTCGCCAAGTAAAAGAACAGCTGTTTACCTCCGGGTCGGGCGAAGGGGGCGGTCTAGACACTGATCGGCGGGGTCCCTATACAAGACGGGTGAGCCGTAATCGCACACAATAATAGACGAATCGCGCTCATGAGTTACGTCGTGGAAGCCCCGGGAGTTGTTGCTGCGCGCGACACGCACGCCCAAGGGCCTGTACTGCACCGAGACGACGCGGAGGAGCCCGAACGCTCTGTCTTTTCAAGCCGGCCTTTTGTCTGGTGAGCCGTGGTCTCCCACGATATTAGACAAATCGCGCCCATTACTTACGCTGTGAAGGCCCCGGGAGTCGTTGCTGCGCGTGGAAACGCGGGCCGAAGGCCCTGCTCTGCAGTGAAGTGGATGTCGAAGTGGACACTGCCTTCCCAGACCGATCTCTGTCCCGATTGTGGCGTCAGACGGCGCGCATGTCTATGGGAATGCGGCGCGATAGATGTCTCGGCCCAGTGCGCTCGGTTCAAGCAGCGGGCTTCGTTCACGTACTGACCCCGCGCGCTGGCGGTGTAGAGGGCGGGAGAAGGTGCAGTGCGAGACGCAGGTGCGCTTCGTCGTGCAAGAGGGCGCCTGGAGTCCGAAGACCGCATAAATGCAGCATCCGAGTATTTCGAGCGTACCGAGGGTTGCGGGCGCGACATCGCAGAGGGGATACTAGGCAGCTAGTGTGCTAGTTGTCTCAGCTGAACCTGGATGAGAATCCGGCGACTTGCGCGTCAGTTCGAACTCGTCCGAGAGTAGGACGCGAGTCGAGTTGGGCTGCACCACGCGAGGATGACCCACAAGTCCCAAGTCAGGGACGTCGAGCGTGATCGTGCGCTCGAAGGATAGTGCTCAAAGGTCTTGCAGAACGTACGTAAACAACATATAAAAAGCGCTAGTGTTTTACATGGCCTCAGACCACTACAGATGCTTTGCACAATCACGAGGATGGTTTTAAGCGGAGATATCCGGGCGTCGGTGAAAAAACCTTCATTACTTAAGTACTAAGATCGGAGAGCAGCAGTGGTTTTGAACAGGGCTCGCATTCAGACCGGTGTTCGGCCTTCTTCCGCACAGGGTTTGGAAATCAGACGGCTTGTGCCGCCGATCGTTCTCGTGGTAACGTGGAGAGTCGGCGCCCTAGTCCGCCCGAAGGCGCATCAAACGCCACGAGGCACTTATGTAAGACACTATCCGTTGGTCTTTCTTTCACCACGATGTCGACGGCGGCCAACTTGTAATATTATCCTCATCGGTGATGACAAGCCATCAGTTCGATATCGTTATCCTTACTAATCGAGACGGTATACCCCCGTCAGCGCAACAAGAACCTATCAACCGAGCCACTTCCAATTCCTTGCGATCCCCGGGCGCGACGTCATGGTGCGCAGCCAAATTCTTAACACATCCAGTAGTCCAATCTCAATATTAATTGGGCCATTTCAGATACCCTGTATCATGGACCAGGTCATCTGGCCATAGGACGCGAATTCCTCCTCGCGGCCGGCACCATTTCACTGATGCACGTCGCCGTTTCCATGCTGGTCGCCCTAGCACTACATACCGCGAGTTCTTCTTACTCTAGAATGCGAGGATTGCGAATGCCCAATCCTCTCCTACCCGACGATTTAATGTTTGGGCGCCCGTCTTCCTCGTGCGAATCCATCAGGCCAGTGACGCTGGAGCCGTCCTCGCCATCGATCCCACAGCGTGCGTGTCCCTGGCACGCTTTGCACTGTCGCCCACACTCCTCCAGATTGCGCTGCGTATCCCCTTCCCATTCCTCATGTTTCGCTGGTTCCGACCGCTGTCCGCTCCGGACGAGATCTACGCGTCCAGTCTCCAGACGCTCCATCTGGGCCACGCCCTCTGGTACCCCGAGCCGCACGAGTCGGGCGAGCCGCAGATCGGCGATGTGGGATTCATGTTTGAGGGGGCGTTCATCAGGTTGTTCAACCTCGACACGTCTGCTGCCGAGAAGAAAGTCACGTTCTGGGACCCGCCGTACAAGATCACCGAGCCCGTGCCTCCAG